TAGACTGCAATTTTGTTTGTGAATTTTCAAAAAGTGTAGAGCAACTCGCAATTTTGTCAAATATTCTCCTCTTCTGAAAAGTCTGCTGTTGACTGAATATTTAGTGAAATTATCTCTCGTTTATCGAAAATCTCCAATTATGAAGTATGGAATTCTAAGGAGTAGAAAGTTAATTTTACAAATTCACGAAAAATCCTTCTCTTCTAAGAAACCTTCTACCTACGCACAATTTTGTAAAATCTGCACGCTCTTTCTATCTTAATTGCTATTTACCGTAACAATAACTCCCCGTTCATAAAAAAAATTTCCAGTTGTCAAATATCGAGTTTTAAAGGAACAATTCAGAATTATCGATAAACTCTGAAATTACACAATTTTGTAAAATCTACTTAACTGCTACCGATCTCCCTCACTGACCAAAAAGTCTCCAATTGCGAACAATCGAGTTTCTCAAGGAACTCAAAGCAGTTGTCGCGAACCACTTGTTTGAAAGCTCGCGTGAAACAAATAAGCGAAGCGGCCATCGCTGGAGCGGTCGTGTCCCTACCGGCGGAGTCGGTAGGGTGCGCAAGAGGGTGCAAGTTGCGCGGGCGCACTGTCAGGACTATCGATTTCGCGAGCAGAAAGGTACCACACGGTTGGCCATCGATTGGACGTTCGTCTAAAAGGATTGTCGCTGGTGATCTTCGAAAGACGACAGACACTCGACGAAGGGGAATCTCTCGCCTCGAGGTGCAGATCGTCCAAGGTGGGGCCGATTCCTAGAATCGGTCGGCTATAAGTTCCCCAGAAGATCGTGGATACCCCTTGCTGATCGTCGATTCCCCCGATTCGATTCGATTCGATCCGAGTGTTATCGGAGAAGGCGAGGAGCGAAAAGTCAGAGGATAGAGAAGCCAGTTCTCGGCTCCAGTCATGCAGAACTATGGACACGAAGATTACGATTATGGGGCCGCCGATAGTGAACAGCAAGGTACTGGTAGAACGCTGCCGCAGATGCCAGGTGCCAGGCCCATGGTCGATCCCCAAGCCCAAGGAGAGGTCGATCCTACCTTGTATCCTCAGCCGAAGGAGGCAACGAATAAGATCCGCGGCAAGAGCGACGTGATCGAGTACCTGTTCGGCTCTGTTGATCAGGAAATGATCACCGTGAAGAGCTTCTACTTTTTCTTCTATTCGGCCTTTGGCTCTCTGTTCCCCCTGATGGGAGTCTACTTCAAGCAGATGGGCATGAACGCCGGCCAGTGCGGCCTCCTGATGGGCCTGAGACCTTTCATCGAGTTCCTTAGCGCGCCTTTCTGGGGTTCGTTGGCTGACAGGTGAGAGACTGAATCTATACCGAACTGGTATAGTAATAGATATTAAACGAGCGTGAGTCAATCTCGAGGATTGTTTGAAACGATCGCGAGTCGAATAAATCCATTCTGTTTTTTCTTTTTCTTTTTTTTGTTTGTTCTTTTAATTGTAGATGTAACGTGCACGTATATATGTAAACAGTTTTATTTGCTTGGCCAATGTTGGCGGATATTGTCCAGAATCCAATATTGCGTGGGTTAGCAAGGCTGGGAGAGAAAGCTTCAACCCCCTTATCGATTTATCCGTTTCTCGAGGGTAGAAAGGAGCGACGATTCAATCAAGGCGAACCGTACGAATCCCGAAATTTATCGAGAGAATGATTGCTCCGTTTCGCAGGTGGCAGAAGGGCAAGATGATCTTTTTAGCCTCGCTCTCTTGCTGGATCATCTTCACTCTTCCCCTAGCCTTCATGCAACCACCGGCTACGTCGTGTCTGGTTATACGAAACGGCACGGCGTACTTGGAAGCGCCGAATCCTAAAACGAGGATAGTCAAGCGGTCCGCCACACTCGATGACTTTTATCATCAAAACGACGAAGAATGTTTAGAGATCGCGGACAACGTTGTTTTCGAGAGGCTGCGCAAGGACAGCAAGCTAGATCCACTGGCGGCTCTCAGTGTGCAAAATAACAGGGGCAGGTTGAACAATATACGACAAAATTACGATAACAATAGAGTGCGAAGAGAGGCGCAAGTGGAGACGACCACGACGGAGGACAGTCCCATTGAAGATCTCAAGTACAAACAGCTGGTGTTCGAGGAGAACGATCCCGAAGCTAAGACTATCGATTTTGAAACACTGCAAAGGAAAAACCGTCCAGCCGATGTGCTCGAGTACAAGCGTTTTCTCAATGTGAGTTTCGTAAAATTAAAGGAAAAGATTTCACTTCTTACACTTGAATTGCAAATTGCTTAATTGCTAATATTAATCCCCTTAATATAGAAATTATTTCCTCACTCATTATTCGTACTAACTCAGTTCAGTTCAGTTTTCACGAGGAGACTCTAGTCGAGCGTATTAATTCCAGAACCAACCACTGGACGATGGAAGACCACCGAAGAAGGCGTACACGCACACCAAAACCAGGGTGAAACCGCCACCAACGAAGGTTATGGTGAAACGGGATATCAACGACGAAACTACAGAGAACGAGCCGCTATCCAAGTTTCAACGACAATGGACTACCATGAAGACTTTACGGGCGATATCATTATTAGACGAAGAGGAGGACGAAGAGGTGAACGAAAGTGAGGACGAAGATGACGAGGAAGATGTCGAGGTGCCGTTAGTTAGGAGGAAACGCTATATCAGAGTACCTCATTCCGGCAAGAGTCCTCATAGTGTTGCCTATGCTGCGAATTACAACGAACGGGAGAACAAGGGTTGGGTAAAACCCCTCTACAGCTCGATTGTCTACAGATTACCGGTACAGATCGCTTTTGCATTTGAAGACTGCGGGAGAGGGACACGATAAGTCAAATATCCTCTCTTTTTCTTTTTTACAGGGATGCAAAATTTTTAAAATTCAGTATATTGTCAAAGTTATCACTTTATTTGGTTCTGTAACTAAAAATGTGCCCTTTGATTATATTCTCTAAAATTCTCAAAACATTTTCTGGAACATTCTGAAATTAGAAATTTTCTAGAGCAAGTCTGGATTATTTCCTTGTTTTAACAACTACAAAAAATTTCAGATATTTCAATACTTTTACTTGTAATTGTCAGAGACTTCTTTTCTTTCTAAATCTAAAGATACGCGATATTTTGTCGTAAGTAATAAATAATAAATTTGATTCTGTGTAGAATCAGACAACTCGAGTTTATTATATCATGTTCTTCTCCTACGATTTTCTTTCAATTCGATGTTATGATACTAGCGAGAAATTGCTGTTTATAGGATATCCAAAAAACTTTCTTCCTCCTGTTGCTGCTGGTGATTGTCGGCGAGTTCTTTTCGGCACCTGCGATCACTCTGGCGGACTCGGCTGTCATTACTTTACTAGGCGAGGACGCGGACAAGTAAAGTTAACGTCTTGTTAACGTCCAGCTTGTAACCGTTTCTTTGCATCTCGAACTTCTTTTTTTTTTTTGGCACAGGTACGGCCACCAGCGAATGTTCGGTAGCTTAGGTTGGGGTCTGGCCATGTTCTTCGTCGGTATCGCTCTGGATCACAGCACCGCGTTCTCCGAGCATCCGTGCGGTCCAGATGCAAGGGAGAAGAACTACACGATGTGTTTCGCGACCTTCAGCGTCCTCATGGGCGCCGCCCTGATCACTGCCACGCAGATCAACTTCAAATACGATTTTCCGGTCACGGAACCGGTGAGTGATCAAGTAGCACACAGACCGAGTGTCGAATGAAGTAACTCTCGTCTCGTTGCTCAGGAAGTGGAGAAACCTCCTGCCGAACCGACGAGGGAGGAACAGCTGCAAAGTCAACTGTCTCAACAGTTGAATCTGCCCAGCCTTCAGGACTCATCTGCAGCGATAAATCCGAAGCCACAGCCGCCTGAAGGCAAGGTAACGAGAAATTATAGTATTCGTGATTCGACCTAACGTAAACCTTTGCACTCGGGATTACAGACATGTAGCAATATAACTTTTTTTTAGTATTATACGAGTTTTATAACTTCCAATTTTTTTCCCCTTCTTTCTTTGAAGATATCTTTGCGCCATCAGTGTTGATATGTAGAAGTAAAAATAGAAATAGTCTTCAGACTATTTAAGAAGAAGATTGACCAACTTTTAAGTTAGAATCTTTTTCAATTGGAATGCAATCTGTTTGTACAATTCTTTCAAATGATACATCAAACATTATAAACATACTGATATACAGACATTGATGGAAACTAATATTTCTTAACTGCAAAAAAAAAGAAAACATAATTTTTCCCTCGTGAATTAGGTTTTTAATTACAGAGATTGACGAGGAGAGTGATTAAAATGCATCGCGAGTGCAAATGGTGAATATCGATCCCTCGAGACTGTTCTGCATTGTAAAGGAGCTTCGTATTGTTCCAGACGAAAATGTTCGCTCAAACGATGCGAGAGATCCCGGAATGGGTGACGGTATTGAAGCAATTCAAGGATCTGAAATGCGCGTCATTCCTCTTCGTCGCGTGGTTCATGGGTTTCGGTATCGGGCTGATTTTCACCTTCCTCTTTTGGCATCTTCAGGATTACGGTGGCACGCCGACTCTGTTCGGTGTTGCTTCTGTGATCAATCACATTTCCGAGATATTCGCTTACTTCTTCAGCTTTAAACTGATCCGTCAAATCGGTCACGTGAAGGTAGTTCCTTATTCAACTCACGTTTAACCCTCTCATTCCTACGGCTGGATTTCTTGAGAGCCTTGTATATCATTACAGGCTTCATATAATGCATAATCTGCGAAAGTGAAGCGAAATGTTACAATTAGAGCGCAAAGTTTTATACATTTTCATGGGAATCTAGAAGGTGTAAAAATATGTAACACGCAGACGTATATAAAACGTGCAAAATATTCGTCACGGTATTTAGTAAGCAGAACAATTTCCCTTCTAGGTTCCATTTCGTTAAGTCATCTTTATGTATTTGTATCCAACATCCACAGTCTAATTATAATACTCGGCAAAAATAAATGTCTGCTTAGGAGCAATCTAGTAAAGACCTAATAATACAGCATAATAATAGTAGTACACTTACAGTAATAAACTTGGATAGCATGCGTTCTCTTTTAGGCGACCACAATCACGAGATTTATTTTTTAAAAGTAAATACACACGTAAATTTCAGGTGTTGTGCATGGGACTGGGCGGGAACGTGTTCCGTTTCCTTTATATTTCTTGGCTGACGACTCCTTGGTGGGTGTTGCCGTTCGAGTTCATTCAGGGAATAACTCACGCGGCTGTTTGGGCCGCGTGTTGCAGCTACATCGCGCATAACACGCCTCCGCAATTGCGCACCAGCGCGCAGGGTGTTCTTCAAGGTATTCATCATGGTCTTGGCAGGGGATGCGGAGCTGTGATCGGTGGAATGTTCGTCGACGCTTACGGTGAGTTCTTGGTGACCGGCGTGTGTCGCGTGACGTCTCATCGATTCGTGTCGAGAAACGCATGTAATTCGATATTGATTCGACTTGGAATATTCAGGACGTTGCATTATTAACAATCCCCCCCTCTCCCGATGCTGCTTTCTTAAATAAATCGAGGTTGAATTCGCGGGGGAAAAAATATTCTGTGAACTGACGTTACAAGTTGCGAGCTATCAATTTTAATAAATTTTTAACGGTAATAGCAACAAGTTTAAGAAAGAGATGAGGTCAATTGATTAGTCTATTTGGCGCAGAAGTTGTTAAATTATAAAAAAGGAAATTTATGATTTATGGTCAATAATAAGTTGATTTATCAATATTATTGTCGTTTTGTTGTATGCAAGTATTACAAAATATTTTGAATTTTGGAGAATATCTCCGAAGAGGTTTCGGAGAATATCTTTGGAAAATATTTCCGAGAATACGAGCTACTTTTAAGCTGATTGTCGTTCGCAAACAGTTTCTCTCACATCATTGTAATTTAGAATTCGCTTGTGTAATATCGTAAATTTGACGCCGTATTACACTCTCTCTTTGGTTCTACCAACACGTTCAGAATTCCTATTCAGGAATATTTTTTCAAATATTTATGAGACACGCTTTCTTGTAAACTTCAATCTTGTGTACATATTCTACATTTTTTTCTACGCTAATGGAACTTTATTCTATATGTGAGATAGATCAGTGATAATGAAAGGATGCTTTTCTTAGGAACAACTGCAACATTCCGAGCCTACGGCCTCTTCTGTATCGTCGTTCTTGGCGCGTTCGTGTTCATCAACTTCTACAGAAAGGATACAGGTTTCGTTTCCGAGTTGCCACAGACGGAGGACCCTCACCAAGTAGCCGAAGCGACCCACTTGGCACCGCACGGTGTACCTAGCAACGCCATTCCTCGTGCTCTCAGCTCTACTCGGTTGCACGAGTTGGCCAATCAGGATTCGGGTTACGGTGCTACCTATCAAGCCGGCGATAGTCTCAATGTACCAGGTGCGAATGGAGGTAAAATCTTCTTATCTTTACTGATCCGTGATTGAAAGATTTTCTGAAGGAAAAAAAAAAAAAGAGAGAAGAAAAATATTGAGCAAACGAGAAACTTACGATTGAAAGTTTCAGTTTTAATTTTTTATCGAAATCGGCAATTACCTCGAGAAACTTTGATCTTTTTGTATTTACGAAATAAATAGAAATTTCGTAATAATTCTAGTTATTGTTTTGGTTTTTCTAGAAGTAAATAAATATTTCGTAATAGGTGATTCAACTGTTCAGCAATGTGTTAATTATATCTTCAATGAAAATCTCGCAATATTTGTGTATGTCATTTATTTAAAAAATATACTTATGTCACGTACATATTTACCATAGATTCACAGGCCATGTTATCAAAAAGCTTTTCAATTATTTCTTCGAGTATTCAGACGGTGAAATATGTTTACGTATGTTTTCAGGTCCAATGAACCCGACGAATCCATTTCTGAACACTGGAGGTGGCGGCGGAGGTGGATATAATTACGGTATGACTGGCAATGGCGAGGACGAGTATATCCGTAGGAGCTTCCAGGTTTAGTAAAATCATTCTAACTAAAACGTCCCCACAAGGAAGACGTTTGTTGGAAAAATAAGTGACAAAAGAGAGAAAACTTCTACGCAAGGCTATACTCTCTGAACGAAAAAAAGCCGTGCTTTTACTTTATTTCTTTTCGCGCTTTATTTATTTTATAATGCCGTCAACAATCGTGACCGCGTAAGCACGTTACGTTTCAATCTTTCTGCATTCTGTGTTTCGCAGCTCTACAATGAGGTGATCAACAGGGAATTCGAGCTGGTTAAGCCACCGCCAATAGTGACCCATCTACACGCTCAACAACCATGCACCAATCCCTTCCATCAGCACGACTACGAATGGTAACAGTCCGGGACGTTCGATCCCACTTGAGGTGATCAGGATGCTCATGGAACGCTGATCCTGAACCGGCCCGGTTCCTTGGAGTACCAAGAACAATGGACCAGCTTCGGAACACTAGGCAGAAGGAATTTTTACACGGTTAGCGCAAGAATTCGATGGAAGCCCCTTGGTGCCTCCTCGAAGCAGTATGCTCACGTTAAAAGAAAAGAAAAAAAAAAAAAAAACAAAAAAAAAAAAACGCCTGATAGCGTCAATGTAAGCTATTTTAACGAATTAGTCGCGGTATAAAGAACAAATAATAACGAATAATACAGGTCAGAGTCTTCTCGATGCTGAAGATTCGATTATCAAGCTTGAGAAAGCATCGAAAGGGTAGAGTGCAGCATCGAAGGTTAAAAAAAAGGGGGGGGGGAGGTGGAAGAGAATTGACCGTGAGACTGATCGATAGAACGACGATTCAAAAGTGCCTGCACACTACGATGTTGTTGTTTACGATTAAAAAAAAAAAAAAAAAAAAAACTGCTGGAAACGCGAGTTTCATAACGGTAACAAGCAATCGATGAAAAACATTCGGCGAAACGCGCGCCATTATCGGTGAGGATGGTTGGCCGGGAGGCACCGAAGGGCAGCTTCGACTGGATAAGATTTGCGTCTGCGAAATATATACGAGACGAAGCTCCTACATTGCGCGAAAGACCGAATCTCTCGACGACACGCGCGAATCGAAGGAATGCCATTCGACGAAGATATTTTGTTATAACGCGTTGGTCCCGTGGCTCGTCACGCGCGATCTCGGCTGTCGACGATATTTTGACGATCGTCACCTGCCACGTGGACTATCGCGTGATATAGCGTATACGCATAAAAGACCACGATGTACAGCAAAACAGACGACATGTCTCTTGTAACTGAAGAACCTATATAAATCTAATATACCTGACACGTGTAGCACGGCACAACACGATCTGCGGGGTCGCTTCAACGAAAACTCATATCCTTGTACAAGGACTTGCATTCCACGGCACCGTTCGAGTAGCTGTTTCATCGGTTGTCAAATACGAATCGACGAGAACGAGACTTTATTCCAAGATTCTATCT